GATCTGTAGCTTTATTTATTGGTCAAATATCTGTTAGACTTTAGGATTAATATCACACTTGATTCAGAGAAAGAATTGAAAGCAGGAATAGCTCACATAACACTGAGATGATTAGCTTTCTAGAGGTTTAAATGAGTTCTCCTATGAAAGTTCCTGGACCTTGTATTCTTTTGTGAGAAAACTTTGCTTTATTATTTCCTCCAGATGAGCAATAGATGATTATAAATTTTCAGGGAGGACAAGAATGAAGAAAAGAGGGTTGGGAATGGTCCCCACTTACCTAAGTACCCTTTCCCCTTCTTATTCCCTTCCTTAAGGTCTTGTTGGTACCTGCACCTCAGAGCCTCTTGAAAGAAATGGCTGGCCTTCCGGACAGCACTCTGAGGATTGTTCTGGTGGGGAAAACCGGAAGTGGGAAAAGTGCAACAGCAAATACCATCCTTGGGAGAGAAGAATTTGCTTCTAAAATTGCTGCCCATGCTGTTACCAAGACCTGTGACAAAGCAGAGCGACAATGGGAGGGGAGGAAGCTTCTTGTCGTGGACACCCCAGGGCTCTTTGACACCAGGGAGACACTGGAGACCACCTGTGAGGAAATCAGCAGGTGTGTCCTCTTCTCCTACCCGGGGCCCCACGCCATCATCCTGGTTCTACCACTGGGCCGCTACAGTGAGGAGGATAAGAAAACAGTTACAATGATCAAGGCCATCTTTGGGGAGCCAGCCATGAATCACATGATCGTCTTGTTCACGCGCAAAGATAGTTTGGGTGATCAGACACTGAATGACTTTTTAGCAGGAGCAGACATAAACCTGCAAAGCGTCATCAAGGAGTGTGGGAACCGCTGCTGTGCCTTCAATAATGAGCAAAGTGCAGGTGAGGCTGAGAAGGAAGCTCAACTGCAGGTGCTGGTGAAGCTGATAGAGGAAATGGTGGAGAGGAACAGAGGGGCTCACTTTTCTGATGCCATCTACAAGGAGGTAGGGAAAAAGCTGCAAAGTAAGGAAGAGGCCTTGAAGATAATCTATGATGATCAATTACAGAAGGAAACTATACTAGCTGAAGAGCAATATGCTGAGGGAAAAATATCACTGCAAGAAATGGAGGAGAGAAAAAAATCCTCATGGGAGAAGTATAAGGAAAATATTCAAAATATTAGAGAAGAAGCTGGAAGAAATATATTTGAAGATATTGTAAATGGGATTCAGAATATGCTTTCAAATATACTGAATATGTTTAGGAAATAATGTAAATTTTATTTTTGTATCTTAATTTACTATGATTTGTTAATGTGATTAATTGTATCTTCCAAAGATGACTAAAACAATATATCCTATCCCATCCATTTTTCTTATAATCAGTTTCTTTTTCCTCTGTTGAATTATACGATTTGTCCCCTTCCTTGAAATTTAATGGACTTTGTGACTGCTTT